TATATATATATAGTATGTTCACTTCAACATTCAAGAAATAAATATTATAGTGATAAGTTTATACCTATTGCCTGTAAATATTTCCATCGCCCTAAAACAGTTAGCGTGAAGGTGATGCAACATGACAAGTCTATTAATAAGGCACAGCTTTTTACTTTTTTTAATGGTTAGCCCTTTTTCTATTTGTTATGGTTATGACATGGTAACTTCTCTATAATTTATATATAGAAAAATAAATAAATTTTGCATGTATCTTTCTCCTTTATGTATGTATGTATGTATGTAACCATGTATGTATCTTTATAGTCATATATTGTGCTTTAGTAAATTGTGCTTGCAGGGTGCATAAATGGCATAGCAATCAATATAATTGCTCACCGACGACTCTCGTAAATCTATAAACACGCTCTCGTGGCCCAATCAGCAGAAGATAAGTTTAGATTGTATTCAAAACAAAGATTTAATCAATTAACAGTCATCTGACAGCCCGTCCATGCTAAGAAATATCTTGTACTTTGGAGGCGTTTGGGTTCACTTTCTATTTTTCTTTTCTTTTTTTTTTAGTTTTCATTTTTTTTTATTTTAACATAGAAGAAAATATGTGTGACTTAATTTTTCAGGTTTTAAAAACAAAAAAATAATTGCATATTAAAAAAACAAAAAACAAAATATGTTGGGCTATCCTTAATCTTCTTCTCTATAAAATTTGAGATGAAGCAAGAGGTAGGGTTGTAAACGAGGTGAACAACAGCGAGCCCAGGCTCAGCTCGTGTTCGGCTTGTTTATATTTCGAGCTCAAAAAGTGTGTTCGTGTTCGGCTCTTTTGTTTAACGAGTTGAACACGAGTTGTTCACGAATAAAAGTCATTTTGACAATCATAATCAAGTAGCCATAAGATGTTAAGGGTTGGGGCAAGATTTAAAAATTATTGTTTATATTAAAACATCATTTGGATCTAGTTTAATAATTTTTATTATATTTTCTTAATTAATACTTTTATTTGATTATAAATCTGTGGTCTTGTAGCTAATTATTTTTTTTTTAAATACTATTCATATATGTATGTATGTATGTATGTGTATATGTATGTGATATATATATATAT